AAATAATGCACCAACGAGTATAGACTAATAACATGCAAAAAGTAGAAAAATTCATTTACCTCGAAAAGTTTTCCTGGCTTTTTAACTATGCGACAACAACCGTTACAAATTCATTCAAGCTAGTCGTTAACTTTCCCATGGAAACGATGTTGCTTCTCTGAGAGAAATTGACGATTATCTATTCAGAACACAATATTATAGAATACATCATTTGATAGATGAAAATCTTGACTTTCTGTTAGTTATAGGTAATATATAATGAATCGTAAGAGAGAACTATTAACGAATTGTGAAAGAGAGGATGTGACAGGTGGGTGTTGTAGGAGGGGTCTAATTTTCTATTTGATAGCTCTGTAACCAAATAAAATTGAAGGCTATAAAAATTATGGTTTGTTTGAGCAATAACAATTTTATAGAGAGTATTTTATGTTTAATTTCGTACATTTTTGAGGGGTGATGGATAAAATAGGGATGATGACATGCTAAGACAAAACGTGTCACGTGGGTTACACTAATGGAAATTCAGGATTTTTTCTTACACATTTCCTTGTACAATTAAGAATTTAAAAACTTGTATACTATTAAAATATGGATTATTAGCTGAGATTTTATGCTATTCTAATTGGTATAACATAAACAAAAAGTAGTATAATAAAATTGTAAGACACTAAAACCTTGTGTCATGAACAGTAAAGGGGTACCTGGAGCGAGAGGGTTAATAAACAGTTTTTTTTTTTTTGTATAAAAGACTTGTAATGTTTGCTAAAAGTCTGCCAAATTTGGTGAAGATAAACATACTGAGTTAAAAGTTATAGTATAAAAGCTATATACAAGTAAAAATGGTCATGTGATCAGTCCTTGGGACTGAGACCATATTGAGAGAGTTCGTAACAAGCTCAATATTAAATGTGCAATGCATGTACTTTACGTACATAGTCTAAAATCCACATCAGGACCCTGATAACCAGTTGGAGACTCTTAGTGGATTTATATTATGTAGCACTGCTACTTGCTGAAGAAAAACTACCCGATATTTCGATTAAGATCATGTCAAAACACACCGATATTCTTACTTGACTTGAAAAACAAGCAAACAATGAAACTAAACAAAAAAAAACATTAAATTCTGTACTCACCCATGCAACATTGACAAAATCATTAACCCCCAAAGTGTTTAGCAAAGACTTTGCAGCAATCTTCATTATCTCCATGTTCTGACCATGCATACTACCGCTCCTAGTAAAAACAAATTACAACACCATCAGTAATAGAAGTAAAAATAGACAAGTTTTACTCCTTACCTAAATAAAAAAAGTACATTAAAAAATGCATCCTAGTCTATTATTATGGAAGAGAACATACAAATTCACTATTTAAGATTTTGTAAATTACAAAAAAATGTAATTTGATTATCATGATAACCTTTAAATCACAGCCAGGACATAAATCAGAATGAATCCTAATTCCATATTTATCTTGATCTAATTTTGTTTTCTCAGTATCCAATTTTAAAATAGTGCACGTATGTATTCTATGATTTAATGAAAATTAAATAAAAACCATTGGCCTGGTTAGCAGCTTTAAGAGAAAACACTTTTAACTTGTTTACTTGCTTGTTAGAACCTAATCAAAGTTTTTGTTAGATCTGAAATATGAAAACTTACGTGTCCAGTAAAATCAACATATCTTTCGGCGAGCTTGAGCCATGGACATACCTACATGAAGCCATGAAATCTATTTATAAATCAGTATTTTCTACACAAAACTATATATTCAACTCATAAACTGTGTGATTAATAATAATTTTATATTTTAAATAATCTAATATTCCTATAATATACCAAAAACAGAGTAAATCATAAATTTTTTAATGGTGAGTAAATCTAACTTATTAAACAAACTGAAAAATAAGAATTTTCTACTGTTAATCTGTCAGTTAGCTAAGACTGGCCTACATGGCACAATGTATACTTTGAGACCACCCCATGCTCATACAACACAACATATCTGTTTTAATCATCCCATGCTTATACAGCACAATAAATATATATATACACACACACACACTAACATTTCTCACATGCCCACATGGCACAATACATATATACAGTACAATATATATATATATTAGGTCGACAAGAAATTAATGTTGTGTTTTGGAACACTTTCATTAACCACCCCCAAAAACATGCATCACGTATAATAGTTAAATGAACCACCTACACGTCACGTTAGTGTATCCTATATAATGTATAAAGTTTAGTATACTCTAATCCCTTGTAGTGATGGCACACGATGAGACACATATTTGGCATGTAATGATGGTTGAATATAAGAAGGGAAATAATGCCTCTGTAGCCACGTAGAATCTCAAAGAAGTTTATAGAAATGTTTGAATGTTTGTAAGTGTCAACGATGGTTCAGCAAATTTCATTCAGGTGACTTTAGCCTTAAAAACTGTAATATCAGGGGCCGAAATGTTGGAACTGATATTGATGCTCTGAAGACGTTTGTTGAGTCTAACCCAAGG